CCAATTCACTTCTTGTTTTGGATTCTTTTCATGATCATTTAGTTAATTATATTAAACAAAAATTACATGAAAAGTAACTAATATAACAATAATTTCTTGTAGATTAATATCAAAATTGCAACCTCTTGATGTATCAATTAACACAAGTTTTAATAGATTTGCAAACTTTATAATGATTGGATGACAAATGAAGTTCATGAATTAACTCCATCTGAGCATATTAAACCTTCATATTCTTTAGTATATTCATGAGTAATACATGCATGGGAAAAAATTAATACAAATTTAATTTGTAGATCGTTCAAATGTTACGGCATTTCAGTTAAAAGTAATGGTTCTGAAGATGATCTTTGACTATGATAATCTTATAGTAGATAAAGAAAATAAGGGATGATATTAATTTTGCTGATGTTTGAATAAATAATAAAGTTTTATTTTGAATTTTTAAAATTGAATAAAATATGTATTTGATAAATAAATATCGTAATGGTATATTAATCACATGATTTATAGTTCGACTAAAAAAAAAACACACCCGGGTCTTTTACAAAATTTCGGCCCAAAACCTTAGACATGGGGGAGGGTGAGAATGGCCCTTATCATTTATTATAATCATTGTAAAAACTTCAACACAAATTATTGGGAGTATTATAATAATTCATAGTAATAGTAATAATTAATATTCCTGTGCTTAAATTTGTTTTTGTCCATGAGTTGTGTAATATAATATTAACAATTAATAGCAATTTTGGTGTTTCGACCTGAGGAATACTTTCTCATACGCAAAAAAAAAAATAAAAGTTTCTTTTATAAATACGGTAGATCCCGAATGCCAATATCAATTATTTTTACATTCTTTATAAATGGTGAAAACTGATCTAATGTAAAATGAACCTCTACAAGAACAAGCCGCTTCGCTACTATCATGCCTTTTTGAATTTTCATCCAACAGCCGATAACGAAGAATTTGTGATGATTTCCCGGGTTATGAGAAACTCGCGGCAACTTATTGGGTGGATATTTTACTTTTCCTTTCTTTTTTCTTTTTTTTTTAGGAAAATTCTAATTTGGAATTAATGTAAGTAAATTAGAAGTGAATTTGTGGATTGCACGTTTTCTTTTATAAGCTATTTTAAATTTTTAAAAGTTTAGGGTAAACAGCCGGCCGAGTTTACCAAAATATTCCGCAGGCCCTGATGAGTACTCACTCATATGATGATTGGCGGATCTCATTTCTTGATTATGTCTCTACCAAAACACGAAAAATTTCAAGAAGGTTCACAACAAGGAATTAAAATTCATGGGTGGACAATTACAACCACTAAATTACCAATTCTTAATTCCCAGAAAATTGAAAAGTATTTGTTTATATAACCTTTGAAATTAATTTTATTTGACATTCATTTATTTATTTGTTTTACAATCAAATATTCTAGAATACAAAAGGAAATAACAATTCCATTACCTGAAATGTTTTTTGGGAATAATTCATTACAAATAATCAATGAACACGGTATTTTACTCGAATTCTCACCTTTAGATGCATTAAAGATGGTTGATACTACAGCAGAAGGTGGTGAAAAAGTAAAAGTTGCTTATTCCGAAGAATGGAAAAAGAAAAGGTATAAAAAATTATTTGAATTGATATATATCTGGGCGTTATGTAGTATAAAGAAGAAACTCTAAATAAAGTTTTTTTTTGAGTTCATGTTATTTATAGACTTATTTTACTAAATAAAATCATATTAAGCATATAAAGTTTATTTTTTTTGGTAGTTTCCTCCAAACTAATTTTTTTTGTTTTTAAATAAAAGTGCAAAGAATCATGAACACATTAAAGATGTGATTAAACCATATGATTGGACTTATACTACTTCATACTCTGGGACATTAAAAGGGACAGTTAACAATCACGTAAGTTGCAAATAACTTTGCCAAACCTCTAGATGGTTATTGATTTTATTATTATCACATGATTGGATCTCCTAGGTATTTGAAAAATCGACAGATAGAATTGATATAGAAAAACTGAAAAAAGTAGAAGATATTTTATTTTATAATGAAATGATTTTATTTGAAGATGAATTGGCTGATAATGGGACAGCATTATTAAATGTAAAAATTGTAAGTTTTTCAGAGATGTAAAGGTTCTTCAAACTTTACCATTCTTCATGATTTAAATCTTTATTTGTTTAAAATATATAGCGGGTAATGCCATCAGGATTTTTTATACTTCAACGTTTCTTTCTTAGGGTCGATGAAGTATTATTTAGGATGAATGATACAAGAGTTTATCATGAATTTGAAACGGAATATTTACAAAGAGAATATTCTTCGAGAGAAGAACTATATAACAAAATCAAAGCAGTTAGTAATGAATTGTTTTCTTGAAATTAAAAATATTTCCTTAATGAAAGTTGAATTTTAAGAAATGTTTGTCTATATTATAGTATATTCCTAAATATAAAGGTGATGATATATCACAATTAACAGACATCGATTGGGTGTCATCAAAATTACCATCAAAGGAAGATGGACTTATAGTAGAGAAATTACGTATTGTAGAAGAAACGAACCCATCCTACTAATCTACTCGGCCGTTTCCCGAGGTTTGTATTTCTTATTTGTAAGAAATTTTTTGTTTAACCGGTTTAACCATTAAATTTCGCTTTACAAGATTTTGTTTCTCGATAGGAAATCCAATTTCCGTTAAATAATTTGATATATTTCCATATTTATGATTAATATGTTTTAATAAACTTCTCATAGCCTAAAGGAAAAAAAAAAAATTTAATTATAAAAAATTAATTTAATCCTTATTAATCGAAAGAAAAAAAAGGTACATACATCAGAAGATATTTCAGCAAATTCTTCAGGTAAACCAACTCTTTTAAAATCTTTAACAATTTCCGAATATAACGATTTTAAGTTTTTTTGTGATAATGAATATTCTCTTACGATGGTTTCATCGTCTACTCCACACAATGCAAGCGCAATTGCTAAATTATCAAATTTATATAAATTTTAAATTTTACTTTAAAAAAAATACATTTATGTGAAAAAAATTTTTGTTACCGATCGAAACACCCGTACGATCTTTTCCATGCCTACAATGTATCAACAGAGGTAAATTTCTTTTATCCGCCATGATATCAAGGATCTTTTTTTTTAATAAAAAAAATTTAATAAAAATATATTAATTACATAATCAACAAAGAATTTTTTTTACCTGACAAATTTGAACATGACAGTATTCAACAAAATCTCTATACATTCCCACCAATCCCCTTGGGGCCATATATTCTGACATGGCTTTCGCAGCATTTAATTTGTTACAAATCAAAAAGTATCCAATGATTTTCCTAAAAAATAAGGTATAGTTATTATAAAAGATATATCTTTAAAGAACATTAATAAGTAAAGTAGGCACTACATTTTAATTGGCCATGGAGCTGCCACAATTAAATATTTATAAAGGTTTGTTCCTGCAAAACTAATGTTAACAGTATTACGACATCTTTCATCATCCTAATAAGTGATGATTAGTTTCAAGTAATATGATACATGATAATGATTAAGGAAAATAAAATTTTATTTACTTGGAATGGATAAGATGAATGGGGATAATAAATATCCAAAATTTCAGACTTAAAATTCTCGTAGGAACTAATTCAAGGATAGAGTTCAATGATAGATCACGTGATAACACAATCAAAAAAAAAGAATCTTATCTTGGAACCAACCTAGACCGTAAATCAATTATCGTTTGAATATCGAGTTTCAAAAACTGCTCAATATCTTTTTCAGATGCATTATCTATATAAATGTTTCACCGATAAAATTAATTACGATATCGAAGACCTTGGTGCATATATGATAAGAAACATATTTACCCGGTTCACCACTTCGAAACAATACGCCCTTTTTAATTACACTAAAATACGAATTAATTAAAATTAATGGTTTCATAATAATTTTATTCTATTTTTTGATGTACCTTTTCTTTTTCTTAATGGGTTCTGCCAGAGAACCGCCAACGTCGCGAAAATTTACTATAGATATATTCATTTGTGAAAATTTCAAATAAATAAATAAATTAAATAAATTGCAATTTTTTTAGTTACTGTTTGCGATACATTTATATATAAATATTATAAGGGGGATTTTCAAACTTAATTATAATTTTAATAAACATATGAATGGAAAATCAAATTCCGAGAATTTTAGAATGACAATAAGATTTTTAATTTAGTAAAAATATCTCAAATCCATTAAAATTTATATCATTGGTCGAAATTATGCAAATCTTTATTTCAAATAAATGACAACATATGAAAAAATAGAAAAGGAATTAAATGACGCAAAAAGAAACTACGAAGAAGCAACGGGGAAGTTGAAGGAGTTCGAAGAGGGCGAGGACGATGGAATGTGGTTGAAAGTGTTGAGGAGAAAGATGAGAAGTGAAGGACTTGGTGAATGGGAGGAGAAGAAGAAGACAAGGCTAGAAGAAAGAGAAGAGATTGGAGAAGAAGGAAGATGGGTGCAGAAAGGAAGTGGTGGAGTGGGGAAAGGCGTTAAGAGAATTTGGTAATAGTGCAGGTAATGAGCTAATTGCGTAAAAAAACATACAAATAATCATTTTACATTTCGTTTATTTATTTTATTGAGTGAAAAGGCTATTGTAACCATAATTTATTATGCTATTTGCTATATTGACTTTTTTTCGGCTCTTCATTTTCATTCAATTCAGATAAAAAACGCAAAATAGAATTGGCTCAGATATTACAAGTTTTCAGTCCAGGTGAAGTTAACTTGGTCAATGAAAAAGTGCCTCAGCAGAGTTTGTGGATCGTGATGATGGATTGATTGCTGCGAATCAAGTTTTCATTAACAACTCTAAAGGACGAAAATCGCAACATTGTCAGGATACCTACTTTGGTTTATGTTTTGGTGGTTGTGGAATTGGCAAAACGGAGTTGGTAACTCAATTTTGTATGAAAATGATCAGAGAGTATAAAAACGTTCTTGTCCTGGATTTGTATAAGGATTTTCACTCATTTAACCGAAATACATGCAAAGAAGATCAATGGCTCGGATTATCTCTGGTTACTGTATATTATGGCGGAAAAAAAACAAGTCTGTCTGCATTTATTCAAACGATAATTTGCAAATATGGCGAAGAGTCATTAATGGCTTTTGACGATGTTACTGAGGTTTTTAGGTTGATTATCAATCATTACCGAAAATGGAAAAGCATAAGAGGAGACTTTATGCGTTGTGATATGAAAAGATGACTATCAAAAACGAAATGGAGCAATTCTCTAACTCCCAGCTCAGTGTTATTCAAAAGATTGGAAATTATAGTTACATGACTACGAGAAAAAGTATTGCTGCTAGCAGGATGCTGTTATTGTTCCTATTCTATCTGGGATCTTTGGTAAAAAGTCGATTATTGGAAGCCGATATTCTGCAAAGATTTTGTCAACACCACCACTATCATTCGATATCTTGGAGCAATCTCCGTTCAAACTTCGTATTTTGATATCAGATATTGGTGGAGTTGCGCGACTACTCATGTATTTGCGATCCATGAACGATTTTAC